CCCCCACCCCGCTGCCCCAGGACCTAACTGAATGATCATGGAAAGAATAAAAAGAAAAAAATACTGTAGAAGATAATTGAACAAGAACAAGATAAAAGGATTATACAGGCACAAAACAAGCAATCTAATTTCTCTTGCACAAGTAATTTAAATGTGTGGAGGCTGGATTTTCTGTCCTAGGTGAGTATCTGACACTATGTGCAGTTTCTCCTACCCAGAAGTGACAAATTTTTTTCCACTGTTCCACCAGTATAACAACACCAGATCAGAACAAATATCAGTGAATGGAGGATCAATACACATTTATAACTGTCTGAAGGGTGATGGGAGAAGAGGGATAACCATGGTGGGTACTGCAGACTTGCTTCTGATGGTTACTTGGTGACGTGGAGGTTGTGTACCGGCTCCGTCACCTGTTCCAGTTCCCTTTGGAAAGAAATCCTGGCACTTGTTCAGGGAGGAAACAGGTCAAGTCCAGTTGGTGTAACTGGGAGACAAAGACCGGCACCAGGAAAAGGGTATACTTGCTCCAGAGGCAGAATTTAAGCAGGATATGAACTTGGGGACCAAAATTGTGGCATGCATTACAGAGCACAGCAAGCCACTATCATTCTATCTCACTTTTAACCACTTGGGTGCATTTGAGCCACATCTGTAAAAGCCCCCTGCATCTCCCAGGCTTAGCAACACCTTCCTAACTTCAGAAAGATAATTCAAACGAAGAGAACAGACACCTAGAAATGCTCCTTGCAAGTCTGGCACACAGGAAACCTGCAAGCTAAGTGGATATCAACCGGTAAAATGCACCAATTATAGGAACATCTGAGCTCTTAGCTCTTGCTATCTTGGCTTCATGAGTCAGAACAATACATAATTCTCTCTGATGCCCACTAGAGCAATTACTGAGAAGAGATATAGGTCATACATTTTGCTTGACCTGAGGGAATTCAAGCAAATCTTTTGGGACCATGCTGCAGCTGAAAGGCTAGGCAGGCTAAGGGTATCCTCCATGCAGTCTGCTAGAGTTGCAATAAAGAATTCAGGGGGTTAACAAGATTATGGGGGCTAGAAGGAAAGCAAGAGAAAAGAAACCCGGTAGTGTGGTTTCTGGGTTGAGGTGAGTTCAGGGTTCTGGTTTCTGCTCCATAGTTTCTTTTGCATTGGATACCTTGTGAAGTGCCATTGAAAAAATAGTCTTAGGGCCAAACTTATAGACTCCACTTTTCAGATGTATGTCCTGAATCACTGCACTGTTCGTGTCCACTTGCTCACTGCTCTCTGGTTCCAGGCGTCTGCTGCTCCCTCCCACAGAGTGGCAAGACTGCCAAGGTTTCATTGCTAAGGCAGGGCGGACTTGGTGTGAATCCAACGTGTCTCATCTCTAGCTCTCATAACTTCTTTGTGGACAGAGAGAGAAGGTCCTCCTTGTGCTAAACGAAATGCGTTAAATCACAGAGCATGCCACTGAGATTTGATAACATGAATCATTCTTGGAGATGAATGAAGAACTACTTTGAAAGATTAATATGCCTGGTATCTTATCCATAATCTGCAAGGTTAAAAATGAAAGATGTTCCTTTTCCTCATCTCATTGTCTCCTGTACTATTTGCCTATTTTATGTAATGCTTCTCATATTTCCACTTCACAAATTTTCATGTCAAATGTAAGCCAGTTGATTCTTGCTAGAACAAATACTTTATCATACTTCAAAAAGTCTTAGAGGTTGGAGAGATTTGTACTTTATGAAATTAAAATGTACTGGGATGCATGAAGTTTACAATAAAAAGCATTATTTTCATATATTTTTCAGCTTATGTAACGTCAAATTGGCTTCTTTCCTTTAGGGATAATAAAAGCAGGTTTTTATTAAAATTTGCCCTTGCTTCTCTTCTAGTGAAAATGGTCCATTGTAAACGCATAAACACAAATAGGCTCTTACCTATGTACTGGTTGTGCATATGTTTATTTAATACATTACGGTTTAGGGCAAGTTTACCTAAGCAGCTCATAAAATTAATTCTTGAAGAAAATTCTGTGTTAACTTAAATTATTTTCCACATATTAGCCTCATATTCCCATTTTGACTAAACATCCCATCCTTTTGCCGTATAAGTTCTGCATAAAGAGATTTTTATTACAGAAAATGGGCACTGAAGTGCACAGGAGCTTATGAAATCTCTATCATGGGAGGTGTTTAAGAACAGGTTCAGAAAATATCTGTCATGTACTGATCCTGCCATGAACTAGAGGGATAATCATATAACCCCTTGAGGTCACTTCTAGGCAATAAGTATATTTTATATGTGATTGGGACTGTTCCATGCATGAACTGTGTCAAAACTGTTGACATGTACTTATGTACATGAACTATTACTTAATAGGAATATGGTGCATGGAAGGAGAATTTAGGTAATTGACTATATACATATATATTTCTAGATCTTATTTCTTTCCTTCTCTGCAGAAGGGAGTCCTGCATTTTTGGTGTTTGGAAAACTCATTCCAAGGGGTTGGGGAATTGTGCAGTTTTTCAGCATCTGGTCGGGGTCATGTTTACACTATCTGTCTATGATTTCTGAGGATGAAACAAGAGTTCAGTAATAACCATTTTTTTCTCACTCATTTCTGTGTGTTATACATATTATGCTAAGGTGGCTCTTGTACAACATTTCCAGCATAGATTTCACACAGGGTATTCCTAAATATTTTGCAGAAAGTGTTTATAATCTTGACAATATATATTCCTTTCATGTGGTTGGTTGTATATTTCTATGCCCTAGTGCCTGTTTTGAACAGCTATAACACATCAGTCGGTCAGTTGGCACCAACCAGCACATGGATTAAATAAGGGCCTTGTGAAAAAAGATTATTAATTTTATAGCAGTACTTCATAGAATCATAGAATCATAGAATGTTTTGGGTTGGAAGGGACCCCTAGAGGTCATCTAGTCCAACCCCCCTGCAGGAGCAGGGACACCGCTAACTAGATCACGCTGCTCAGAGCCCCATCCAACCTGGCCTTGAATTTTTTTTTTTAATTTTTTTTTTTTTTTTTTTTTTTTTAGATTCCAGATCACAAGTTTAATTTAGATCAAATGTGGGATTTAAAAAAAAAAAAAAACAAAACCAAAAACAAAACACACAAACTCTCAGGAATGCTCACGCTCTCAGTTTGCTGGTTTCAGAACTTGTTTCATGTCCCAGTCACCAAGATACTTGACCAGTTGCTTGCAGCGTGCCTCCAGCATGTTACTGGCTCTGAGATTTTGCGGCGAGGTGAGGGAACTTCCTTTCCAGGACCTTCTGCCTTGTCCTCTCAAGGTTTTGCCGCCTTGCCCTGATACGTAAAGATTTTTCAAGTCTGAGCCTGATGAAGCGGTTCACATGAGGTAAGTAATAGAATTTCCTCTTTTTGTGTTTTTTGTTCAAGTACCACGGTATTGGCCATTCCTTGTAAGTGTACCGGTAGGGGCGTCCCAAAAAGTCATGTTTCACTCTAGGTACTGGCTTTTCATGGCCAGTTTGTAAAAGCCTCAAAGCAATTTCTCTTTCTTTGACAACCAAATCAATATTTTTCATAGATTTTTCTACCTCTTCTAATCGTTCTGGACTTGGCATAGGCCTGAGTTGTCATTTCGATTCTTGCTCTAAAGTTAAAAGCATGTTTTTTTCCTTCAGTAGGACATACCAAACTTCTCTCTATGAATTTCAACACATGATACATGAAAGAGCGTCTGCAGTCTGTACATGGAGAAACTAATGCTCAGAGGGAAGTGACTTGTTCAGTCACCAAGTAGACTTGCAGCAGAATTGGGAATAGGCCCAGATATTCCGGTGCCCCACTTTAGTACCTGATTAACTCAACTATGCTCATTCCCTTGGTAACGGTAACTGTAATATCATACTGTGCAAAGTTCTTCCCCACCCCCATCCCTTTTTTTCCTTTTCAGATATGCAATTCTCACTCTCTTTATGCCACAAAAAATAAACAGGAGAAGAGAACTTGTCTTCTGCTTAATTTTTTTTCCAATGAATAAGCTTGTATTGAGACAAGTAGCAAGTAAAAGAAGAACAGAAGAAATAAACACTATACTGACACATTTATTTCACTGATAATTTAAAATATCTTGAATTAATTTGCTACTATGTCTTCCTGTTTGCTAGTTATATTTATAAATGTCTTTACATCTGTAGTTGCCTGCAAAGAAAATTACTTGCATACTGGTTTTTGAGTTCCATAGTTTGTTTTTATGCCTTAAAATGTTCTTTGGTTAGCTAATATGGGCAGAAAAATTAATCAAATGATAGACAGATTTTTACTAGACATTTAGACTGCCAAAACGGTTGTCCAGTACTAAGCTGTCCTCTCTTTTGAATGATCCATGTTACAGTGAAATCTCACTTTTGACTGTATTATGGACTGCAGTACTACTGCTTATCTTCAGCAGAAAAATACAATTCCAAGCTACATATATCCTTTTGTAAATATTGCTTCAGATTGGAAATTTATTATTATCTGGTGTGAGATGGAAAATGATCATTTTATTTTAAGCTCTTGTTCAATTTGTGTACAAAAGGATTCTGTCAAGCCTGATAAATGTTTCTTTATTTTAATTTTTTAAAGGAAAAGTATAAATATATGTTCCATTTCCTTTCTTTTGGACTCCTTTTATTTTTTTGGCCTAAGTTTTATAGAAGATCAAAGATTTCAACAGATTTTATGTGGGACATTGCAGATAATTGTCATTGAAGTGTATAACAATATTCAGATTTCAGAGTATACATTTTCCAGTAAGAGCTTTTTATGCTTTTTCTGGTGGCATGTTGGGAGCATTTTTTTTTTTTAATGAATGTATCCCTGTAATATATTATGGGATTACAAAATTTCAATAAACCTTGTTCTATCAAATGAAATTTAATGAAAGTTAAAGTATAAAGCAACCACCTTTATTTTTGAAAATAAAGTAATGGATATACCCAGAAAGTCAGAAAACTCCATTACAGAATGCCTAGTTTTTCCCTATATGTAGTGTTCCAAGGCATGTGTTTCCCTACCTGTTGAGTGGGAAAAATTACTCATCTGCCATCTATTCAGCTGTATGGTTCACAGCTGTTGATTTATTTCCAGTGGTATTTCTCTAAGTTCATACTGGATTTCAAATAAAATATTTTAAAATATATATACTGAAACACTTACATAAAGGACAGTTGTCTTATTTAATCAAAATGTAATATTAACATAGATCTTTCGATGTCTTTCTGTATTATACTCAAATATAAACATGTAAGGATATCTTGTTAGAAGCTATTCCACATAAAAACATACAAAACAAGAACAAAATGGAAGAAAAATAATAAACTCCCAGATACACAAACCCTAGTAAATAGAAATAATAGAGATTACAATGAAGATGAGACCTCTTGGGTCAGTCGCTGATGCCTAGGCCGATGAAAAAAACCTGCTCACATTTTTTGCAAGCTTGCAAATGCTCACATTTGCAAGGTTCAGCCTGAACTTTGCAGCTGTTAAGGCAGTCATGGGGCTCATGGGAAAGCACTTACTTATTATGGGATATTTGAGGGGGCTTGTGGGCTAGTGCAAAACTTATTATGGGATCTTGAGATGAGCTGTTGTAAGATTTAAAGACAAGGAAAGATGTAAGAGCTGAAGGAAAAGGAGTGGAGTGAACCAGAGAGGAATAAACATGGTAGATTAGAGAGAATGGGGACAAAAGGAGCCAGCTGGGTATAAACCAGTAGCTGGTCAGCACGCTTGTCTGGCCAAGCCCTGTGCCTCATTACTACAGTCTTTCCTGTCTTAATAAATCTTATTTCTAACTATCTTCTGTGTAACCACACTCTCTATTCTGTATATGCATATGTGTTTCCTGAGCAACCTTCAAGCTGAACTAGATGGTGAGTAGGAGGAAACCCAGGCCTGGAAAGACCCAGGGTCTGAGCTAATGGCTGGGTAAAAAGCTTGAGGCCTGGTCATAGATACTGGGCAGAGTTAAATCTGGGCTTTAAGATTTCAAGGGAGTTTCAAGAGTATTTTCAAGAAATCTCTTAATGTGGATATGCCTGTGAATCAAGAGAATGTGTGCACAGAACCTTAAATTCTGATCAATTATCAAAGGAAGGGCAGGATCAGGCCCTCAATATTCATGTTTGTGTGAGCATTGTCTGGTGTTTTTTGAGGGGGGACTTCTCTCTGCCTGTTCTGGGCAGTGTGGTCAGATGTGTGTTTTGTATGTTGTCTATCTAGATCTTATGAATACATGCTCAGCCTTGCTACAGACCCAGCCTGCATATGGGAACAGAGCAGAAAACACGCTAGGAATCAAAATCCCTGCGGTCCTGGATTTGGCTTTGATTGACAGTTATAATAAACAGACTTATGAGATTGTCTTTAAGCTCACGTGTTTGAAATATGGCCTCAGTGTGCTGAGATGCATATCTCATATTCATTCTGTGAGAACAGAATTTAATTTTTGTTCAGCCACAAGGTTCTGAGCAATCAGCTGCCTAATATGATCTACCTCAGGTAATTCCAGAAAGCAGTTATGACGTTGTATCAGACAATACTCTAAATGGGAAAATACTGTCTGTTGGAAAGGGAAAAAGAAAGGTTTTACACTATTCAGTCAACCTCTTAAATATTTTTTTTATATTTATTTTGTGTAGGGTAATAGTTTGCAGGGTAATAATTTGCAATTGTTTGAAAGCTAGAAATGTCAAGTCAGGGAAGGATAGGATAGTGAAGGTGGTACATTTAGGAAAACCAGCTGAAACTCAAAAAAGACTGAAGCGAGATGACTTGAGACATCCCTTGTCAATGAGGTCAGTCTGAGCAGTGGAATATTCACCAGATGAAAGCGTAGGAAGCTCTCCTACCTGAATGTCTTAAAACTGAGCTAGTCACATCTATTGAAAAATAGATGAAATGGGATGCATAGGTCATTTGAATTTCCAGGTGCATTTGAAACTCTGCTTTTGAGAAGCTGTGGGACAGTAGTGAGACTCTTTTGTTGCCCAAGAACTTTAGAAGCTATCTTTGATCTGCTAAGTCAGAGTGGTTAAATAGGATCAGTAAGGACAAGGACTGGAATGCCAGAGCTTTCAGCATATGTGTACTGCTCTTTTTCCAGAGGAGCCGGTGATACACACACACACACACACCTTTGGAGCTCTGTAGGTGGTAGTCACAAGGTTAGTGGATTACTAACCAAACTGAAAAGAAAAAAGTTAGTAGATTCGTGAAAATACAAATTAAGATCCTCACCCTCAAGAAACACATAAATAGACAAAGAAACATCAGTCCCTACTAGCATTTCAGTTATATTGTTATTGCAGTTAACAGGAACTCCTACTCAGGTGCTTCCTCTCCTAGCCCTACATGCAAAAAAAAAAAAAAAAAAAAAAAAAAAAATCACTGTGGAGTTTAGTGATGTTTTCAGTCTTGACTAACTGGCACAGGATGGAGTTAGGTGAGAACCAGGCTGCCTTTTTACTTGGGCTAGTACTGCTTTGCAATGAGGAAACCTGCTAAATGAACAAGACGTACTAGTTCTCCTCTGCATTCTCACAGTTTCACTCCTGGCCACGAGAAAAAAATTGACCCTCCATTTACTATGGTCAACACTTGGAGTGGCCCAGGGAAGCATAGAAAAAAAAAAATCATGGTGTATTCTTCATCAAAGCATGCATTCCCATAGATTTTGCAGTTCTTATCCAGCAATACAGCTTTTTTTTCGTAAGTCAAACTGGAATTTCTTTAGGCTAAGCGTCCAAAAAGAGCACTTGTTCTAAGGATTTTACATGTTATCATATTCAAAACCACAGAGTAACACAACAGCTGGGGTTGGAAGGCACCTCACGTTGCCTAGTCTGACCCTCCCGCTGAAAAAAAGGTCAGCTAAAACAGGTTTCCAAGGACCGTGTCCAGTTCAGTTTTGAATAATTCCAAGGATGGAGACTCCACAGGCTCGCTGAGCAATGTGTTCCAATATTCAAAACCCCTTACACTAAGAAAGTATTTTTTCCTCATGTTTAAAGATAATTTCCTATATTTAAATTTTGCTCATTGTTTCTTTTCCTTTTCCTGGGCACGACTGGCCATGATTATTATTTTAAATAGGTTTGCTGCTCAGCTATTTATAACATGAGAGAATAAAGAAGAGGGAAACTCAAAGACCTCAATATACTGTGATAAGTGGAACAGCTGTTTTCTAACTAGCCCAACGCGTCATTTGTGCAAACATGATAGGATGAACACGTCTTCTGTTTAAGCACAAGGTTACACTCTGCAAAGTGTTTATTAAGAAGCTGCAAGATAATTTTTTTTTAATTAAATTGGAAAATTTTTGCAAAATATATGGCTGTATGTGAAAACTTTATTCCTTCACTGTGCTAAAAACATCAGCTTCTTCCTAGCACAGATAAATAGAATTTTCTACAGATTATTCTTCTAAATCTTTAGATCTTCCACATTTTCCTGGAATTTGCATAAGATATGTACTTTAAACTTATCCTTGTTTTCCGCCTACAATAAGTATTTTTTTGTCCAATTTCATTTTTATCTTAACTTTTCCTGTTTTATGAACCATCTGACTTTTAGAGGTGCCTTACTAAGTTTAATTGGAATGCTTTGCATAGAAGGATATCTTCTAATTTTGACA